GATAGATAGATAGATTGATAGATAGATAGATAGATAGATAGATAGATAGATAGATAGAGGAAGATGTACAAAAATCAATAAACTATATTGATTGTATGTATATATGTATAGGTAAATAATGTTTTAAAACAGAGGTATTCACTCTTTTATATTCAAATATTAGGCTTATAATAGCAGGTAATTTTTAATTGTCAGTTTCATTCATTTCAACCCAATGTATGTCAGTCAATCAATCTTTTACTTAGTCTGTTCATTTTAGTTTGTTGTCTGACTGCCTACACATTTGTCCATCCAAATAAATAAACTATACTAATACTATACAAAGTAAACTATAAATTATAAACTAAAAGTATTAGTGTAAATTTAAAGGGCACATTCAGACTAAAAGAAAAAAAAAGAATATATAATGTATAAATAAATTAATATATACAAATGTATATTTCTTTATATGTGTAAGAATAAATTTGGTTTCTCCAACAGGAGAGGAGGATGAAGATGACAGAAAGAGAGATTCTTCTGGTACAGAATATGATGACATTGAGGGACAAGCCAATGGAATCTCTCCTTCTCAAACCTACCATGATGATGACCTCAACCTCCCTCTCCTTCCCAAGAGACCCGAGAACATTCTTGGTACATCACTCAAATTTACACCTCACTGTGTGTGTGTGTGTGTGTGTGTGTGTGTGTGCCTTTATGGAAACGGTGCTGACCTTTTCCTTTGTGTTCTCATCAGATCAGGACACCTATGAAGTGGAGATAGAGAAACAGGAGGACTATGATGATGTCATACCTGTCGAGGCTGCAGCCAATGAAAATGCAGGGACGACAGGCACACAAGCACATGTAGATGTAGACGTGGATGAAGGTGCAGATTCAGATTTAGATGCAGGTCTAGTTGCAAATGCAGATGCGTTATTGGTGACCACAGAGGTAGAAGTTCACGCTCAAGCAGAGTAATGAAGCAGCCACATGACCAAATTGTTATTTTAAGTTAATATTAATAAGAGATAAGATTGTATATTCTTTTATACAACAGTTCGTTTTGGTTCTCAAATCTGATTGGTTGAGAACCGTGAGATATTGT